TCCCCGTTCCTCTGAACACTGTAGAAACTCGACGAGTTGTTCTAGCAACTCGGCGAGTTGATTCGGGTTTTTTTTGTTTTCTGAAGTACTAAAGGAACTCGACGAGTTGGCATGTGCACTTGACGAGTTGGGTAAACATGGACTGTTGACCTTGACTGTTGGCTTTGACTTTGACCATGGTTGACCAAGTTTGATTTTGAGGGCATTGTGGGTATTTGGAGGTTTTGATAGAACGGTCATATGGTGGTTGTAGGCTGTTGAGTCCGGAGCTGAGTTTTTGGAGTTAGATTTTGGCGGGTTCAACACTTCTTGAGAGGTGAGTTCTGCTCACTATACTATCAGGGTCGAAGGCACCAATGCCGACCCTTTGGCTTGTTTCCTGGGTTATCATATGATGCTATGTGTAGTGATCTGTTAGATATGTGTCCTAGTATATAAGATAATGCTATGATTTATGATCAGTTTGGCCTGTATGATTATTGTATATGCTAGCTAGCGTTTGATATTTATGTGATGTTGTATGCTGGCGGGTGGGTTGAGGCGGTCCTGCTGTGTGCCGAAGGCTAACAGATCCAGGGCGTCCCAGATAGACAGAAGGCTCAGCGGGGCGTACCAGTCAGACCGAAGACCCGGAGAATGGTCTAGATAGGCTGAAGGCCCGGTGAGGCGGTCCAGTCATGCTGAAGGTTCTGTGAGCGGTCCAGTCAGGCTGAAGGCTCTGTATGCATCCTGTTTGTTTATGATATTTTTCTGGTTTGTATGATATTGGTATTTTGGGGGTAACTCACTAAGTTTTGGGCTTACAGTTTTGGATTATGTTTCATGTACTTCTGATGATCGCAAAAAGGTGAAGGCTTGATCGTGCACCTCCTCATATTTTGTGTTATGATTTCTGGGATTACTCTGATGATAAACTATTTTGAAAACAATTTGTAATAAATGGTGGTTTTTGGATGTTTGAAAAAGTTTAAAATTTTTATGAAATTTATGGATGTTACCATGGTTGTCAAAATCGCGATCCTGATCGTAGGATCGTACGATCTTACGATCCTAGGTATGAAAAAACGATCTGGATCGTAAACGGATCGTAAAGGGATCGTATTTGGGGTAAGATCGTAGGTAGGATCGTAAGATCGTAGGATCGAGATCCGATCCAATCCTACCTTCCCTTGATTTTTTTTTTTTTGCAAACGATATTTATTTTTACCACTTTATTTCTTTTACCTTTTACCAATTACCGTTTATCATTTTGTGTTGTGACTTATGACTAATTTTTTGAAATTTTTTATAACTTTTGAACGAAAAATTAAATGTTTGAAATATTTTTCTTGTTTAAAAAATTATAAATTAAAATTATATTTTATTTTGTGGGATCTTAGGATCCCGATCCCGATCCCGATCTCACGATCCCGATTTTGCAAACCCAAAAACGATCCTACGTAGGATCCCGATCTTGACAACCTTGGATGTTACAAAAGTTGACGCCAAAGATTGAGGAAGTGGTGGGGAATCAGAGCAAAAACACGACTGGAGGCAGGAAAGAGGAGAAGAAGGTATATCTACGAGAAGCATTAGCGGCGACAGAAGTCCAATAGCGGCGATGCTACGGTTTATTGGCGATCCTCTGGAGGGAAATTAAACCTCGTATTATTTTCGAGTATTAGCGGCGACAATTGTCGCCGCCGTCAATGTTGCCGCTAATAGTTTTCAAGTCTTTTGTTCTCCGCCATTATATTATGATGCATATCGAAGGATATGGATTAAGATCAGTTGTTTGACACGGATCGTGGGTTTTTTACTATTAGCGGCGACATGTAACGTGAAAGTTACATGTCGCTGCTAAAGATGTGCGTCGCCGCTAATGACGTCACTGCTATTGTATTGATTTCTTGTAGTAAAATTCTGTGTTTATAAGGATATTTCGGAGCATCTTTAGGGAAGTTTGTAAGGATATCCTTATATGAAGCCGTTTAGATCTTTTTTCACTGCATGGGATCGATTTCTCACCATTATAGAGGTGTTATAGAGTTTTGTACCTCTTCGATTGTCAAACATTCAATTCTTTTTATTTTTTTTTGAAAGAGATGTCAAACATTCAATTCAATAACTAATAAAGAGTGCCTTGCGGCTTTTGCGCCAGCTTTGGGTTTCCACCCAACTTCTTGCCTTCTTGTTGTCTTTGGGTTGTGATTGAATACGTTCAAGCATATCATCTCTTTACAAGTGAAAAGTGGTTGTTCTTCTGGTTTCTCTTTCTCATAACAATAATAAATGTATTAGATTATAAGTAAATAAAGTAATTAACTACGCTTATGGTAGAAAAAAATGATATATGAGATCAAACTAACATTTTTCGAAGAACAATAATGTTAAAAGAAAACTATCTTATCAAACTAACATTTTTCGAAGGACAATAATGTTAAAAGAAAACTATCTTTTGAATTTGATAACTTTTCATGGTAATATTGTTCACATATATTTTCATGGTAATATTGTTCACATATTGGAAAAAAAAACTTTAAAATATGAGTTGTCATTGTTATATTAAAGTTATACAAAATAGACATATCATTTATAAATAACTGTACTAGCTTGGAACAAGCGTTATATAGATGGTTGCATTTTGAAGAAGGTGCAAGCTTATATGTTCAAATAGATTTTCCAGGATTCAAAACGTATTTCCTATGCAGACTAACACTATGATGAAAAACATGCACGGTACTATTCAGGTTATATATATATATATATATATATATATAATATATATATATATAGATATATATATATATATATATATATATATATATATATATATATATATATATAATTTATAAGATCACTAGATCGAGCCACAAATCTGGAACTCCATTGAGCCCATAAGCTAAACTGTTTTTCTGAACTGTTATTGCGTTTTGAACAGCAAGCAACCTTGTATTTCTTGAAAAAAACAAAAGCAATGGTCTTTGCATTCAGAATGAGCGTTTTTCTTCATGTAGTGGGTTACACCCCCCATTGTTCTCATTTTAGATGCAAAAGGTAGTATCGTATATGCTTTGGGGTAGAATGCACTTGCATAGAATTAAGTACATGAAAACCCTAAAACTAGTAAGTCAAACGGTCTTCTTAATTATCATTATGCTGCTAAACAAATTATATGGATTTGAGAAACGAAACCAGCTACTTGTGAGGTGTTAATATTGCCATTGTTAACTCATGTATTTGATTCTAAGATCTGCTAAACAAAAAAAGCAAGATTCATAATTTGAACTGTTTTACTAATGCTAAAAAAGCTGCAGAGCCACATAAACAACATATTAATCAAGTTATAAGTAGAATATGTAGTATAAAGATGGGAAAATGATAAAGCTAATTTGAATCTTTGTCGCTAATAAACAAAAGCAAAGTGAGATATATATAGAAATCAAAGGATCAAACTTTCTCGTGTGTCGAGAAATTCTTACATGATCTAAATGTACTTAAAAACATGTTTAACCATATACAGTCAGATCAACCAAACCAAAACCAAACCACTCCATGGATTTCCGAGCCAGAATCAACCAGACATCCAGCCACCTTCTCTCTCTCTCTCTCTCTCTCTCTCTCTCTCTCTCTCTCTCTCTCTCTCTCTCTCTCTCTCTCTCTCTCTCTCTCTCTCTCTCTCTCTCTCTCTCTCTCCCTGTACTAGAGGACGGTTGCGACAAATATATTTTAGGTTTTTTGATTAATATACGTACGTAACTTTAAAAGAATTGATAACATCAAGACAGAAGAATTGATGATACCTAGACAGATACGAAGCAACTAATGGAATGATGTTATGCCAACTCAAATGTGTTTCTCTCTCTACTGGTTAATTAAGGGGTCGGAGAGATGGTGCTTGGGTATATAACACTTTATTGGGCGAGGGGTGTTGTGTGGCTTGTTGGTGCTTTCAATAAAGCAAAAATCTAAGCTTGCCAGATTCCTTTCTTTTTAGACTGCAAAAATCACTCTTGCATAACACATTTCTTTTCTTTTTCCCATTTTATTTGATAAATTACCCGCCTTCACTTTAGTTTCGTAATTATGATGGTGGAAGATTTTCGTTCAAACTACACACTCTTTTACTTTTTCAACACACGGATGAGATGAGAAAGAAGGCACTCAAGATGCAAAGAAAACCATGTGTTTTGTTTTTAACCTCATTATCACTCATCATTAACCTCTCTTTCTCTTGAACATATATAGAGATTAATATACAAGGCTGTAATATTTGTATCTCTTTTGTAGTGGTTTATAACTTTTAAGGAATTATATATACAACATGGTCTTACTGTTGCTCTTTTTAACTTCTTACATATCTTCTTGACCAATTAGTCCCCATATATATGCCACTTAATTAGAGGCCGATCCTAGTCATAACGCTTCGTAATCGTGTGCAGTTTTCCCCATAGTTATAAAGAGAATTATTTTTTAAAAGAGAATGCATGTTTCACTGACTTAAGCCAAAATAAATGCCCCACTCCAAAAAGTCGGTAGCCAGAACTTGCAAGAATTGTGTGTTATAAGCTGGCTTCTTTCTTTTACGTTATTTATTGAACATGAAGACGTCACTTCGCTAACATGTGTTTATAAGAGTAATGCATATATATATGTCCATGGAAAAATCTGCTGATCAACATCACTAATATATAGCATAATCAACATAATAGCACACAATTGTACACATTAATGGTGAAACACTTCGCAAGTACATGGAATTACCTCTCATACACATTAACAGAATTAACCAACACCATACCATCACATTAAACTTAACATAATGTATACCTACCATTGATTCTCCTCCAGTTCTTCAGCGGCTAATTAACGTTGAAATGTGGAATCTTAATTGATCAACCATATTACATTCAAGCTTCGAATTAGCTAGGGTTTGAAATCCAAGTTAAATTACTTTATAACATGCAACGTTTAACTGAATCATCCTCAATATGCATATCGATCCCCTAATTACCCCAAGATCATAGGAAATGTGTAGTGGGAGTAGTCGTGCTGACACCAGAAAATTCTGCCCAGGAATTTCCAGCCCATGATTGTTGGTTGGCATTTTCCAACATACCCAAAAACTGCCTTGATAAATTTAAGCCTCGATTGTCTTCTACCTTCACCGGGGGATCAATCTGAGAAGTATCGATCCTGGAATTCTTTAAACTTATGTCTCCTCCAACCATTGAAGATGATTGTGCTTCGATGACACCTTCATTTTGATAGTTAAATAGACTAGAATTGTTGGTTACCTCAAATCCAGGCAAGAAAAGGCACTCTCCAATTCTCATTCCCTCCAATTGATAGAATGTTGTTGAAATGATTGCCACCTGAGCTACCACTTCCTATTTGAAAATTTCCGATTTCACTTGGAGGCTGAAATCCACCAATACTGGAGCTAAGATTGCCACCAGCACCTCCATATTGACTAAGAGAACTCATGAAGGGCAAGTGAAGTGAAGGTGGATGATGGAGTTGACTACTTGTCATATTCTCTGAGCTACTTCGTGGAGGACTTACACTTAGGGATTTAGGCGCGCCTGATTGGCTTGGAGATTTCGAGCTTCTGCTTTTGCTACTTCTTTTGTTTCTCCTACAGCCACCACCAACAGGAACATTTCTTAAAGCACCTCCTCTAGTCCAGTAACGCCTGCACGTCTTGCAAAAGTGTCGAGGCTGAGTGAGGCTATAGTTGTTGAAGTAGCAAAATTTCGTGTTGGTGGAATCACAACGCGGGCAGTTTAGACCTGGCTCTGGCAAGGGTAGTTTGGCTAACCTAGCTCGATCAACCATAGATCCTGGTCTGGTCAATCCTTCTCCACCTCCACCTCCACCACCACAAGGTTGTGAAGGCGGCGGTGGAGGTGGAAGATTAGGGTTTTCACTAACACCACCGCCGACACCTCCACTTCCATGATTGTTTGATTGCTGAAGCTGTGAAAAAACAACCGAAAATAGAATGAAAACCAAACAAAGAAAGGATCATGGTATATTCAACAAGAGATTTGAAGAGGAATATGAATGAGCATATATCATCTTTTTTACATAAAGCACTTGAATTCCTTTTATTTTTGATTGGATGAATCGAAGAAGTAATTAATATAAAAGAGATTGATCATGTATCAAAGGGAGAAGTCCTAAAGATCATACCTGATGATGCCAATTGTGGTGATCAAGATAGGGTGGAACAGATGAGAAAACCATGATTTAAATTTGAGCTCTCTTTTTCTCTTTTAGAAAGGTTTCAAGGGTTTTTTTGGAAATATATGGGGGTGGGGAATCAAAAACAAGAGAATAAAACACAGAGAAAAGAGAAATTAATGGGAAGGAGAGGAAGGATAAAAAGAAGAGGCTTTTGTTTTGCTTAAATTTCCTTTTATTTTATTCACAGTTTTGCATCTCTTTTTGTATTTATTATTATGATTAGGGTTTTTGGGAGTGAGTGGACGAAGTTTCTTAGCCTTTAAGCTTTCTCAGAGTGACACTCTGTGACACACTTAGTGCTCGGGTAAAAAAGAGACATCTGACCCCTCCATGCATATATACATATATACTATATATATATACATGTGTATCTATATGTACATGCATAAAATAGTTTGAGAGAGAGGGATGCATGTATACATATGCATCTAAAAGTGTGTATGTGTGAAATATCATTGTCTTCTATGCAATATAAGGTGGCATGATGGTGGGGATAAAGGTTCTTACGTAATTATAATATCATAAACCAGAAATATGGAGGAGTCCACTTCAGATTTTCATCAAGGCTAAGCAAACAAGTGTACAACTCCATAAAATGATGTTTAATTAAGTAGTTTTTTTTCTAAGTTATAATTAGGGCATTTATCATGTATTAAACTCATTAGACTCATTAGAGCTTAATAGCTTGTTATATAATTATTTTAGTTTTTCATATAACTTATCCATTTTTATCTACAATGCATTATACTCTATAACATTGAATTAAACATATTTTTAACAATTAAAAAGTTTCACTTTTCCTATAGAAAAGTTCAATGACCATTGAATTTTATATTCATTGAATGTCAATATGACATCCCATGATGCCTCAACGAGCACGACTTTCTACTTAAATGTTAGTTTGCGATCTCAATTTCTTCCATATTATGCTTCCACACTTTTTAAACAATTTGAACCCATGGCTGGTTTCATCCCTTGCCATAATTAGAAGACAAAACTAACAAAGACCAAAATGACACCATGTAACAACAATGTTGCTATGCGTGAAGTAATTACATCATTTATTTACAGTTCTTATCATAATATGATATTTGACTGTTTTTTCTTAATAGTAGTAGAAATAGAGCGTAAGTTTTTTTTTCTCTAAAAACATGGTCTAGCCATCTTAAACTTGTATTATTGCATCTTGGAACCATATGGGATACAATTGCTTGAATGAATGACAGTTTCAATTTTAATTTTTACTTATATAGAAACTTTTTCTTTCTTACCGATGATAATGACCAGGAAACATGCATCAAGATGGTGAATTTAACATCAATTACCATATGGATGACTCGAAAAATGGAGTTTTTAGCTCAGAAAACCCCATAGAGGTGATGCTCCTTACCAAATTTAGTAAAAACCCCTTTGGCACATATCACAAGATTTTCTGCTTTGGGTCATCCAACCAAAAAACGTCCCTGCATTGTCACCAATCCACCCACTCAGGCACACTTAACCATATAGTTTGTATGGTATTTGCTGCCTTCATGGATTTAAATGCATTGTGACAGGGAGTATATTCACACCCCTTTCAAGAAATGATACGTTCTCATTCTCAGCTGATGTGGGATCAGGTACATGTAGCCACCAACCTTCACCCCCTTTATAGGGTTCGACGTCCCTGTCGAGCACATCGATTTATTCTCTAGTTCTGATACCATTTGTGACGACCCCTTTGGCACATACCATAATATTATCCGCTTTGGGTCACCTTATAGGAAAACTTCTCACTAAAGTCACCCATCTTGCCACTCGGACATGCTTAACCAAATAGTTCTTATGGTATTTACCACCCTCACGAATTTAAAACATGTTTTTTAGGAAGGTATCCGTACTCCTTTCAAGGAATGTTTAGTTATCCTTCCCTGATGTGTACGAATCCTCGAGGTATGGAAATTAAAGTAATTTTTGGAGTTTTGTGTTGGCTACAACGTGGTGGATGTGTCCCCACGATGTGGTATCGTAGCTTAATCGCGTATCCCAAATTGGCCGCCACGACGTGGCAATATATTGACCACGACATGGCGTCTATTTTTGGGCAAACCCTAATTTCATGTTTAAGGCCCTATTTAAGGGAAGTGATGGCTAGGGTTTCCTCTATCCTCACCCTCCATCACCTCCAAGAGCCTTGAAGAAACCTTAACCCTCTCTCTCTCTCTCTCTCTATCTCTCTCTCTATCTATCTATCTCTCTGTCATATTTGAGCTTACCTTTGGTGTTGTAGTGCACTTTGAAGGAAGGATAAGAAGATTTGGTGCAAGGATTAAGCAAACAACACCTCCCATCCTTAAGATCATTTTTTGGACCATTTGTAAGGATTCATGCTTTCATATTTAAGGTTTATTCTCTTAGATCTAGGTTGTTTTAGCCCATTATGGTCCATGGTTTTGATTAGAGTGAGTATATGTAACATCCGGATTTCCAGGTATAATATTTTAAGTATTTATTTTAAAATATGTGGAGTGACTTGACGAGTTGGTGCCTCAACTCGTCAAGTAGAGTCGCGACTGGTGACGTGGATTAATAAGTGGACTCGACGAGTCCGTGAGCCGACTCGCCGAGTCAGCGCTGCTGAAGGAAACCCTAATTTATCGAGCTTGTGGCTTATTTAAAGGCCCTTATGGCCTCCCTTTGCGGCCACCTTCCCCAGAGAGAAACCCTAACCTGCCCTTTTCATTGTATAGAGAGAGAGAGAGAGAGAGAGAGAGACCATCTTGAGCATTCTTGAGCTTTTTGGAGGAAAGATTGGAAGAGTTTGGTGGATCTAATCAAGAGAAGGCCGTGGATCTTGCATTCTTCTGTCATTAGCTGCTATTCAGAGGTAAAAAGCTCTCATCTTGACCTCTTGTTCGTTAGATCTCATTTTTGGGAGCTTTTAGGGTTTTCTCTCAAACATATTGTGTTCTTGAGCTATTTGGGCATGGTTTGAGGTTAGAACCTCAGATCTGGACTAGAGAGGACCTTGAGGGTCCAAAGATTCGAACTTTATTGAGTTAGAGGTAGGTCCCCATGCATTTGACCTTCCTTGGAGCTTGTGATGGCATTATGGAGCATTTATGCCATGCATGGTCATCAAGATCGAACATTTACGTGACTTTTGGGTATTAGGAGGCTAGATATAGAGGTTGGAGTTGCAGATCAGACCTCAGACGTCCAAATGAGACATCCAGATGAGTCGACTCGCCGAGTCTATGAGATGACTCGACGAGTCGGATCGGGTTGCCCCAGCGATTCGTGACCCAGTGATAACCCGTCGAGTTAGGGGTTAACTCGACGAGCTGTGTGAGACCCATGGAAGAATTCAGAGGATACGAGCGGACTCGACGAGTCACCTGAGTGCACTCGGCGAGTCGGGTCAACTTTGGCTGTTAACTCATATTGACTTCTGTTGACTTGAGAGTGGGTCAATTAGGAACATTGAGACCATGGAGGGGTAAAATGGTCTTTTAACCATCCAAGAGAGTAGAAAGAGAAAAGAGGACTTTAGGTGTAAATGAGGAAAAGAGGGATATTGATTGAAATGTTTGTCTAATGTGTTAGGCGGAGGCTAGTTCGGGATTCTCGAGTGCGTGTCTATTTCCTACTAGCTGTGAGGTGAGTCTTCTCACTATACATTACCTAAAGCGGTGTTTATGTGTGACCAGAGGGTCGTATGTATTCACTTGAGTTATGCATTTTGTTGTATGGTATCTATGATATAGTATGTGATATTTAGACCGGACCGGAGGGTCCAATGAACTATGAGACCGGAGGGTCCTCACTTAGACCGGACCAGAGGGTCCAACGAACGGTGGGACTAGAGGGTCCCACTGAGACACATTGACCAGAGGGTCTTCCAGAGCAATAGCCTCGAGTGGCTAACTACTTGTGCATGGTATTTTGGGCAACTCACTAAGTTTTATGCTTACCGTGTTACGTGTTATGTGTTTCAGGTACTTCCGAGGACCGCGGGAAGGCACCGGCGTGATTGTACACATCTGTTCGAGATTACATTGAGGATTCTGGGAATTGACTTTTGTTATGGATGTATGTTGACATTAAGACTCTTACGATTTTCATGAAATCTAATATATGAGTTTTATATGTTTTAAAAATGAAAAATTTGGTTGAAAAATTTCGTCGTTACAAGTTGGTATTAGAGCCTTGGTTTGAGGGATTCGGATGCACATTCGGGTATGTCTGGACTCAAACTGAGGATTTGAGAAAGTTTTCCAAGAGAAACGATTTTTCAAAAATGAGTAAGAGTTTCTAAGAGAAAAACGAGAAGGAGCAATGTGTACAATCAGCTAGCGCCTGAACGGTGATTTTCCCAAAATACCCTCACTTTCAGTATTATGAGATATTTATGAGATATTATGAGATACGATATGCATGCTAGAGATTAGGCTAGGTACTTCATATTTTAGGACCAGAGTGGCCTGATTTGTGATGCCTTAGCCTAGGAGTTACTGCTACCTGTGATTTACTTTGAGTACGAGTATGTAGCAGAAATGTGCTTATGAGAGTAGCCTATGTTCGGCGAGATATAAAGTACTTGCGATCTGGAATCCTAGGAGGAGGACTTGGGGTGATTACAAATGCGGTGTGGAAGGTAGTATTGGGCCTGTACTACTGGAAGCACCGGGTCAGTAAGCAGTCCAAGTAAGAATCTTTAGGATTACTAAGGAACAAGTAGGGTCGAGCGATCGAGTGTGAGTATACTCGAGCGAGTCTCTGATTATTTTGTGTTGTATTTCAGAGATATCATGGTGGGTACACGCCACAACCCAGGGGGCAGTGGTACCAGTGACGAGGAGATTCGTAGGATGATTCACGAGGAGGTGGCCGCAGCCATCCGAGCAGAGATTACCGAGATGTTTGGGTCTATCAAGACCAACTTGATTGAGACATTTGATGAGCGTTACGCTGCGATTACCGAGGCGGCTGCTGCTGCAGCCACCGCAGCTGTCGCTGCTGCCAGGCCATAGGCGGGTGACTCGTTGCTGTACCGGGAGTTCAACAACACGAAGCCACCGGCGTTTGACGGGACTCAGGACCCGATTGCCGCGATGAGATG